TTCAACATTTCATGTAGTACTGGTTTGGTGGTGATGAACTCCTTTAGCTTTTTTATCTGTGAAGCTCTTTATCTGACCTTCAATTCTGAATGAAAGCTTTGCAGGGTAGAGTAATCTTGGTTGTAGGTTCTTGCTTTTCATCACTTTGAATATTTTTTGCCACTCCTTTCTGGCCTGTAAAGTTTCTGTTGAGAAATCAGCTGACAGCCTTATGGGTGCTCCATTGTAGGTAACTTACTGCTTTTCTCTTGCTACTTTTAAGATTTTCTCTTTGTCTTTAACCTTTGGCAATTTAATTATGATGTGTCTTGGTGTGGGCCACTTTGGGTCCCTCTTGTTTAGGACTCTGTGCTTCCTGGAGTTGTAAGTCTATTTCTTTCACCAGGTAGGGGAAGTTCTTTGTAATTATTTTTTCAAATAGGTTTTCAATTTCTTGCTTTCTTTTCTTCTCCTTCTGGCATCCCCATAATACGAATGTTGGGCTGCTTGAAGTTGTCCCAGAGACTCCTTACACTGTCTTCATATTTCTGGATTCTTTTTGCTCTTCTGGTTGGGTGTTTTTTGTTTCCTCATATTCCAAATTGCTGATTTGATTCTCAACATCATCTACTCTACTGTTGATTACCTGTAAATTATTCTTTATTTCAGTTTATGTAGCCTTCATTTCTGACTGGTCCTTTATTATATCATTTATGATCTCCACTAGTTTCCTTAATAGTCTTACTAAGATCCTTGAGCATCCGTGTAACCATTGTATTGAACTCCATATTTAGTAGATTGCTTGGCTTCATTTCATTTAGTTCTTTTTCTGGAAATTTCTTCTGTTCTTTCCTCTGTGACATGTTTCTTTGCCTCCACATTTTGGCTGCTTCCAGGTGTTTGTTTCTATGTATTAGGTAGAGCTGCTATGTCTCCTGGAATTTGTAGAGTGGCTTTGTGTAGTAGGTGTCCTGTAGGGTCTAGTGGCTCAGCCTCCCCGGTCACCTGAGCTGGGCCTTCTAGGTGTTCCCATTTGTGTGCTATGGGCACAGTCCTGTTGTAGTTGAGCCTTGGTTGTTGTTGGTGTTACTGGGAGGAATTGACCCTCAGGCCATTCAGCTGTGAGGACAAGCTGCAACTATACCTGATGAGTTGCTGTGGAGAGACTTCCCTATGGAGCAGGATTTACTTCACTGTAGCTTTTGTGTTCCCCTAGAGTGTGCCCCTTGAGTGTGTCACTCGTGGATGTGGTAGGGTTGTAATCCAGCATGGTCAAAGCTGACCACCAGGTGCATTGTCTCTGGGGTCTCCCAGAAGGTGCAAAATCAGCCTCTGCCTGTGCCCTGCCCAGGGCCACCCAGCATGAGCTACACTGTAATCTGTAGATGGCTGCTACTTGTGCTGGGCTTGGAGGTGTCCAGGAGAGGCCAAGCTATGAAGCAATTGAGGCTGCTGCTAAGCCAGGCCTGGGGCCACTTATCGAGAGGTATGAGTCATGCTGAGGCCAGCTGCTGCCTGTTTGAGATATTTTAGGAAAGTCCTAAGCATGAGGCTTGAGAGGCCACTTGCGTAGAAGCTACTGGAAATGGCTTGGATGAACTTGCAAGTAGGGAGGTGTGGGGTGTCTGGGAATCACCAGGACAGGGCAAAACATGTGTTAGATTGATGGAGATTCAGAGAAGGTGCCTGGCTGCAGGCTCTGTGGGGGGAGAGCTCATCAAAGGAGCAATGGCCTCTTCCAGCTCTTCTGTCTGTGAGAAAGCTTCCCCTCCAGCTGTCGCCCTGATTCTGGCAAGGTAGTGCCTCCCTGAATATCCCAGGTTCCTTTCAAGCTGCTTCCCAGCACTGGAGCTCAGAGGTAGTGGATCTGAGTAAATCCATGCACTGGCCCCGTAAGAGGAACTGCTTTGAACCCAGCAGCCTCCGCATCTCTCAGCCACAGTCCCCATTGGTTTTTACAGCCTGAAGTTGTGGGGACTTCTCTTCCCAGCACTGGAATCCTGGGTTTGGGGGCCTGATATGGGGCTGGGACCCCTTACTCCTCTGGGAAAGCTCCACTGACCAAGCTATCCCTCCTGGTTTAAACCATGCCACCTGGCTGTGAGACCACAGCCACCTCTCTGTGATTCAGCTCAGATTCCACCCCACATCTCCACCCCTCCTACGGGTCACTNACCTCTCTGTGATTCAGCTCAGATTCCACCCCACATCTCCACCCCTCCTATGGGTCACTATGTGCTTCTTTNTTCAGCTCAGATTCCACCCCACATCTCCACCCCTCCTACGGGTCACTATGTGCTTCTTTAGTTCCCTAGTTGTAGGACTTCTATTCAGCTAGATTTCAGGAGGTTCTGAATATTGGTTGTCCTGTATTTTAATTGTAATTTTGATGTGGTTATGGGAGGTGGCGGGTACCGTGGTTACCTACGGCACCATCTTATCTCTTAAAACCTACATATCTATTTGAGTTCTTTGGACTCTTTGTGCCTCCTGAACTTGTGTGGCTTTTGCTCGACTAGGTTAGGGAAGTTTTCTGTTGTTATTTCTTCAAACAGGTTCTCTAACCCTTGTTTACTTTCTACATCTTCTGGTTCTCCTATGATGTGAATATTGTCATGTTTATGTTGTCCCAGTTACCTTAAACTGTCCTGCTTTTGTAATGATTTTTTTTGGTTCTATGAGTGATTTTTTTCTACCCTGTATTCTAATTTGCTGATCCAGTCCTCAGCTTCCTCTAATCTGCTGTTTATTTCTTCCAATGTTTTTTGTTTTTTTTTAAATTATTTCTACTATGTAATTCTTAATTTCCTTCACNGATTTTTTTTGGTTCTATGAGTGATTTTTTTCTACCCTGTATTCTAATTTGCTGATCCAGTCCTCAGCTTCCTCTAATCTGCTGTTTATTTCTTCCAATGTTTTTTGTTTTTTTTTTAATTATTTCTACTATGTAATTCTTAATTTCCTTCACAGTTTTCATTTCTTTTCTCATGCTGTTGAGCATTCTTATGATCAGTATTCTGAACTCTATATGTGATAGATTTCTTATCTCCATTTCATTAACTCTTCTTCTAGAGAATTATTTTCTTTCATTTGGGGTTTTTTTCCCCCCTCCCCATTTTGGCTGCCTGTTTGGATTTATTTCTATGTAGTAGGTTGATCTGCTAGGACTCCCAGTCTTTTGGATGGTCTCTGGTTCAGGCCAATGTCAGATGTTTGTGACTGGCCTTGAGTACCCTGAGTGAAGTTTTCTGCACTCCACAGCTTGTGGTTCCCTCTGCTTGGCTGTGTGTGTTTGGCCAGGACCAAGATGGTCACCAAGCTATGCTTTTCGAAGCCCTGGATCCAGAATCAAATCAGCCAAAGACTCAAAGCAGCAAGTCTCTTAATGAGCCTCAGTCTGTAGAAACTTCACAGGGTGGGGCAAGACATTTTCCAGCAGGGTGGGACAATTGCATCCCCCTCCCCCAAGCAAAAAGTCTTTGAAAGGTAAATGTCTGCCTGAGAAAGAGGTCCTCTGATATATGGGGACATGTCTCAGCACAGAAATCCAGATCGCCAGCCTCTGATCTCTATTGCCCCAGCCAGCACCCCTGGATTCTCCTCACACAGCTCTAGTCCACTTTGCCCTCTCTCTGCCAGAGCCCAGGGTTAGTGGCTGAACATGAAACTGTGCATTGGCCCTTTAAGAGGGTGCCTGCATTTCCAGTCATCTCTCCCTGGCAGATAGAAACCCTCCTACTTTTCACAGCCAGGTTTCATGTGGGCACCTTTCTCAGTTCTGGTGCTGTGGGCTGGGAAGCCCAGCCTGGGGTTTAGACTCCAGATTTCTCAGTGGGATCCCTCAACAGCTGAGATATTCCTCTGGAACTTCAGCTGCTGCCTGTGGGGACCCAGCCAGCCCTCTCGCACCTGTGCACTTCCTACCAGTGTCTATGCAGTTTCTACTTTTCCTCCTTGGTTAGGAGGGTGCTCTCCAGCTAGTCTTCAGTTGCTTTGATTATTCAGGATGGTTTTTCTCAATTTTAGTTGTAATTCCTATTTGGTGCTGGGAGAGTGTCATTGTAGCTTCCACTCAATCTACTGCCATCTTGGAATCTCATAATTTCTTTTCTTTAGAGTGAAGAATTTACAGTTACTCTGTGTGCACAATTCTTTTAAAGCTTTCCCTGTTATTTTCCACTTGTTCCATTCAGTATTTAAGTCAATGGCCTTTTTCAGCTATTTACTTTTACTGAATCCTTCAAAGCATTCAATGTAGTTGTTGTAGAAATAATCACATATTTTGTTTCTCAGTCATATTTCATCAGTTATATAATAATTACAATACAAGTGTAATTGGCATAAACAGATTTTGGAACAAACACAATGATCTTGGTAAGAGTAAGTGGGAGCAGATGTACCTGGATATACTACAGTCTAATAACCACCAGTGGTAACCTTGAATGAGCAAACATACTGGATGAAGTGTGCCCATTAATCTACTGATGAGGTCAGGCAAAGGTCAGTTAGAAGAGTGTTTATTGTGCTTAATAACATGGTTGAATAAGTGTCATATAAATAAATGTTTATACCCAAATTCAAAACAAGTCTACTTATTCTTCTTGGGGTGTTGGGAAAGACTCACAGCTGCTATTCTACAGCAGATTTCCAATCTCTTGCAGGAATATATTAATAATAATGGCTAACATTTATTGAACTGTCATTATGTGCAAGCATTGTTCTAAGCATCTGACATGGATTAACTCAATTAATCATTACAACAATCTTAAGAGGAGTTTCCATATTATTATGTCCATTTTACAGATGATGTAATGAGACACAGAATATTAAAATAACTTGCTTAGTGTAACAGAGCTAAGAAATGTAAGTGGTGAAGTAAGATTAGAAATCGGTCCATCTTGGTTCTAACTATATGTACTATATTTTTTTCTGTTATATTCTCCATTCTCTAGAACTTGAAAGGCATAGGATTAGTAAATATCTGAAATGGTTCCAAAACCCAATGATGCCTTTTCTTACAGAGAATAACAGGCTGTTTATTGTGATGGAGTACTGTGATGGAGGGGATCTCATGAAAAGAATCAGTAGACAACGAGGAGTGTTATTTAGTGAAGATCAGGTAAAAACACTTCTAATTTGCCTTCTAATTTATATGGGGAGCATTAAATTTATAATGCCATAAGTAGTAGACTGTGTTTAGATGAAGCATGATTTCTGGCAGAGATTTCAAACCACAAAATAGTAATCAATATTACTGATTGATTTAGTCCAGAACATATTTACAATTGAACTTAAATTGAATCTCTTTTTGAGAGTAAAGTTTGCTTGAGAAAAGGTAGTGTCTTAGTATGGGACAATCTCATGTAGGATGCCCCTGAGATAAATTTTCACAGCTAAAAAATATCTGAATGTGGATGTTACTCAGCCATTTAAAATGTGACATATTTATAGGTTCACTCTTCTTCCTTTTACCATTTGGTGCTTTGTGTTAAAAGAGCCATCCCACTTTGCTAGGGAGGATAGAAACTCTTCTTATCAATGGCTATTTAGTTTCATTGGTTATTAAGAGAGAGGAGCAAAAAGATGAAAAATAATTGCCTCAATTCCCATTTTCTCTGCACAAACACATTTTTCTTCTGTACTCTGAGCTTCCTTTGGAAACCTCTTGGGAGTTGTACTCCTAATGGAGACAGGTATGTGTGTATAGAAAGGAATCCCAATAAGGCCTTGTGTAATTGATAGGAAAGGTCACTGTCTCAAGCAGTGCCCCAAAATGGCCCAACAGCTTTCTTTAAAAAAAAAAAAAAAAAAATTATTGATTTTTAGGGAGAGTGGGAGAGAAACATCGATGTGTGAGAGTTAAACATTGATCAGCCTCCTGCATGCCCCCCACTGGGGATCAAGCCCACAATCCAGGCATGTATGTGCCCTGACCAAGTGGGAATCGAATCAGTGACCTCTTGCTGCACAGCACTTTGCCCAACCAATTGAGCCACACTGGATAAGACCCAAGAGCTTTCTTTAGGTCAGTTTTTTCTTTAATTTATTATAGCATTTAAGAGCATCATGCCCATATAACTTCTTCCTTGAATTAAAATGTATCATTTTGAATGTATAAATGATTAAAGAATCAATATCTCTAACTCTTGTAAACTTCATCAAGCATTTTTCCTATGCTCATTTACATTGTATATTAAATTCCATACTTGTAGAAACCCTGCTTTCTTCCTATCTAGGTATTATTTTTCCACATTTAATAAAAAAATACTTTTCTCTACAAAATTTTGAACTACGTTTCCCTTAGTTGGGTTAGAACTAAAATTACAACTGAACCTTAGTAGCTGGAATGTAGCTTTTTTTTCCTATTGTTTTTTTTCCTTTCTATATAATTTGGTAAACTAAGAATAAATGAAATTTTAGAATAGTTTAAATACATCTCTATAGGCATAGAACACATTTTACTAAAGAGGCTCATGGATAGCTAAGGTAAACAAAATCATGACTAAGAAAATTAAGTTTTAAAAAGCTTAAAAGTAACATTTTTTGTTTTTATATAATGGATATATATATTGGTATTTCATTAACAATTTTAATAACCTTACATATTATCCATTCCTTCCTCTTTTTCTCTATGCTCTTTGCATCCTCCTTCTACTGAAACAGAAAAACCAGTGGCACCAGGGTTATAAAGAAACAGGGCTGCTTGTCCACTATCCTGATGCAGCTAGCAACTTAGTGTTAAGAAAAATGAAAATTATGAACTTGTCTTTTCTTTTTCTTTTGTGTGTTGGCGTTCACTTTGATATCAACACATTTGGATTGCTTTTTTTCACTTCCATTTTTCTAGGTAATATATCTGTTAGCTTCATTCATATAAACACACATACATAAATATGTTGTTTCCTCTTTTTGCATATTATCATGAACAGATACTTTAGCGACCACCAGACTACTCACAAGTTTTGTTTATGTTTCCTCTACAGATTCTGAGTTGGTTTGTGCAGATTTCTCTAGGACTAAAATATATTCATGACAGGAAGATCTTACACAGGGACATAAAAACACAGGTAACACTTCAGAGAGAGGACAGAGACAGAACTGATGTTTTGTTTTCTTGAAATCTCTCAAACAACATAGCATTTTCTTCATTTATAGAACATTTTTCTTAGCAAGAATGGAATGGTTGCAAAGCTTGGGGACTTTGGTATAGCAAGAGTCCTGAACAAGTAAGTTCTTTTTTAAATCATTTTTTTCTATTTATAACAGCCAAGTGTGTGTGTGTGTGTGTGTGTGTATATAATATTTTAAGATATTAAAGGCTTGGTTTACAAATAATTTTAGATAACTGTTTATATAAATCCATTAAGTCATTCAGATGAAAAAAAAATCATTCAGCTGGTATGTTGTCTGAGGTTAAAATTCCCAAGATAAATCTTGGCATAATAGAATGACAACAGCAAGTCGTATAGTGTGATTTAAACTTATCAATTGAGATATAACTTTAATACACATAAAGCTAGTGAGAATTTAGTAAAACAGACAAATTCACACATGTTGGGGAGAATATGTTTTGTGTAACTGTTTTGGAAGACAATTTGGTGGTAATATCAACAGATTTTTAAGTGTTCTATTTTGGGGAATTTGTTCTAAGGGGATAATGTGAAATTTGGAATAATTTAAATGCCTAATAATTGGGATATGGTTAAATGTAATAGAATTTGGCATAGCCAGTACCTGAATATTATTATCACCACTAAAATTCATGATTTTGAAGACTTTTTGATGATGTGAGGAAATATTTGTTACATCAGGTAAAAAATTGGAATTCTGAATTTTAAATACATTATGATCACAGTATTGTGAAAACTGTGCATGGAAAAAGATGAGAAGGATATATATCAGAATTTTAACTATGATGTAATCACTTTTGGGTGGTAATTTTATGGATAATTTTTTTCTTTGTTATTCACTTTCATATTTTCCAAATTTAAATTATGAGATTGCATTACTTTGATAATTGGAAAGAGGAGACTCTTCCTACATCTGGGAAATTTTTGTGATATGACAATTATACCTCTTTGTGGGAGCTTTAGGCCATAAAATTTTTTTAATGTGTAGAGTTTTGGGAGGTGAATTATAAGTTTAAAAATCAACTATTTTTATTACTCTATTATTAATGTACAATATTTTTTCTTTATTTTAATATGTGCATGCATCAAATTTTGTTATTCATTTTTATACTTTTTTCTTGCATGTTCATATCTTAAGCCTTTTCATACTCCAATAATAAACCATGTTATTTTACTATTTAATATAACTTACTAGTTCCATGGAACTTGCTCAAACTTATGTTGGGACACCTTACTACCTGTCTCCAGAGATTTGTCAGAATAAACCCTACAACAATAAAACGTGAGTGGCTGACTCTTGGTTTGAAAATTTCTGTAAAATCTGATGGGTTCTCTTTCTTATGGTACTTTTGTAATTTTTTTTTTCATGTGCGAAATGAGTATGTCAGTGACTGTCTCTAGCCACTTCACTGTTCCCAGAAGCTTTTGAACTTATTTAGAAAATAGCAAATTTTCTTTATTTAAAGATACAAGTGAGAGAAATGATACTGTTGAAAATTCTAGTCATTGTGACATCTGTCTGTGTATTTGATTTTCATACTGTGGAAGAGGAACAAACTTTACCCTCAAAACTCTTCTGGTTGGTCTAATAATCAAATAGACATGAGACAGATTAGTAAGAGAAAATAACCAGGCCCTGGCAGGGCAGCTCAGTTGGTTACAGCATCATCTTGATACTCCAAGTCTGTGGGTTCGATTCCCAGTCAGGGAACATAAAAAAATCAACCAATGAATGCATAAATGAGTGGAACAACAAATTGATATTTCTTTTTTTCTCTCTCCCTCCCCCTCTCTAAAATAAATAAATTAAAAAAAATTTTTAATTAAAAAAGAACATAATTTAATACATATGCACGGGAACCCCCATATATGAGAGTCAGAGACCCCACATGCAGGAGAGGTTCATAGAAAGGAAATATGGGTATCTAAGACATTCTGAGCTAGGGATGAAGTAAGGTGTCTTAGGGGCTTCAGAGGATCCTTGCAAGATGATAAGAGCAGACCTTTAGTAAATAGAAGTTTTCCGTGCCCTGTAGATAGGTCAAAAGAAGTTATTTCTGATAATAGTTTATTATGGGCTAGGCTCCTAATTTAAGTTCTTCTAAGTAGTTCAAGGGAGGAACAGAAATTTCTCTTGAGCCTGTGGATAAAGTTGCCTTTAGCTCAAAGTAATCGGTATACCACTGAGTCACATCTGGAGATGCTTATTCTGAACTCCTTTTCTCCACACCAATACCTCCTAAGTGTGGTTAGACATGAGCAGAGTGAGGACGACGCTAGGTACAGAAGGTCGTCAGGGTGGAAAGCCCCGGTGCCTAGCAATGGACAATTGTAGGGTATGACCTTGTCCCAGGGTGACCTTTCCTCCCCTAGCATATCACTGCTCAAACAGCTTAGACCCCCTGACCTTTCCTTCCTAGAGATAATATCTAGGCCTCAGTTGTATTTCAGCTCCAGGCCCAGAAAAGCAACACCACCAGCCACAGCTGACATCAAGACCCAACTGCATGCTGAATAGTCTATTGAGATTGTACCCTAGGACATCCTCTAAATTCTCCACCCTTAAAGGCCTTAGGAAAGCTTGGCCAGAGGGGCTCAGCTGATTTAGTATCATCCTGTGCACTGAAAGGTTGCTGGTTTGATTCCCAGTCAGGAACCTGGGTTTCTCGTTTGATCCCCAGTCAATTGATGTTTCTCTCTCACACATTAATGTGTTTTTTTCTCTCCTCTAAGCATGTCCTCAAGTCCTTGGTTGGGGATTTTTTTTTTTTTTTATCCTCACCTGAGGATATTTTTTCCTTGCTTTTTTTCCTTGATTTTTTTTTTTTTTATCCTCACCTGAGGATATTTTTTCATTGCTTTTTAGAGTGGAAGGATTGGTTGCCTCCCGCTCAAGTGCTGACCAGGGCCGGGGATCGAGCCTGCAACCGAGGTGTGAGCCCTTGGCTAGAATTGAACTCTGGACCCTTCAGTCTGAGGACCAGTGCTCTAACCACTTAGCAAACCGGCTAAGGCTCGGGTGAGGATTTAAAAACAACAAAAATCCTTAGGATGGAGGACCCAGTTTGCTTTCTCTCCATGGAGCACGCCCTTTCCTTCCCCATCCTCCCAGGTACATCACCTTTACCTTCCAAACTTCTAAGCTCCAAAGGCCCTTTCTTTGCCTCTATAACTTGCTTCCTAAGCCCATTTCTTCTACAAATTACTTCTACCTCTATGATTTTCTAAATAAATGTTCTCTTATAGTTTGAGTCTTGGCTCTGAATTGTTTCCTAGCCAGAATTCAAGTATTGAGATTGCTGAACCCAGGTCTGGTCTGACCCCACCAACCTAATACTTGGTGCTGTTCCCAGTGAATGTGATAGGTTCTTTTGCGGTGATGTGAGAAAGGAATTCCAAATGCACACAAGTGGAGGAGTTTAAAGGTGATGGCAAGATTTTATTGTGAATTAAGGGGAATTAATACACCCTCAGGGACGGAGAGAGTGGGCAGCTCTAAAGCACTGCCACGAGGCTCCTGTTAATCGTCATATATCTCCTTGGTTCAGGTAAAGGACAAAGATCCATTCAAACTATCCAAACCAAATTCCTAACTTTTCCTGGGCCTGGATTTGGTCCTCCTCCCAGTAAATTCTCTTGGGGTTTCATGTCCTCTGTCCAATCCTATGACCTTTCCGATTGTTCCCAGGCTAGGCCCTGCCTCTCTGTTTTGTCACCTGGACTCCCATTGTGCATGTCCAAAAGTTTTGTTCCATCATCTCGTTCCTACTGTGCATGTGGAGCAGAGGAATTTCCTCCCCTCCCTCTGGTACTGGACTTTCAGCACCTCTGGGGAGGTTTCTATCTCTTTCTGAGGATTAAGTTTCCTGGAGTGTGTGAATAAGTCTGTTCACCAGTAAACTAGATGGAATTCTGTTACCTACTTCTGCTTCCCAGTTTATTAAGATTATTTAGTTCCCTTTTGATTTATTCCTTATATTATTAACTACCTATCTTTCTCATGTCAATAACTAGCTACCTACCCTACACCACCACCGCCAACATAAGCACTATTTACTTTATTGCAGAAAAGTATTGTAGGTGGGCAAGATAGAAGGCAAGGTGGTCTGGTGACAAAGCACTAGATTAGGAGCTCAGAATCCTAGTCTTACATGGGAGTTCCAAATGAGTCACCCCAAGATGTGCTTCTGTGGTATGTGGATTATTTTTGAGCTAAAGGTAACCAAGACCATGTGGGCTCAAGAGAAACTCCTGCTACGCCGTTAATTACTTAGAAGAATTTAAATTAGGGACCTTGCCTATAATAAGAAATTATCAGAGATAACCTTTTTGACCTGTCTATAGGGCAGGACAAACTTCTAATTACTCAAATTATGTTATTATCCTGTAGTGACTTTCCTCCCCCCTGAAGTCTCAAGGTACCTTACCTCATCCTTAGCTCAGAATGTCATACATATGTCATTTCCCCTTTCTGTCTCCGAACATCTCATGTTTGCAGGGTTCCCATATGTACATAGATAATTAACTTTGGCCATTTTCTCTTGTTAATTGGCCTCATGTAGATTTAATTATTAGACCACCTGAAAGAACCTTGAGGGTAGAGGAAAGTTTCTTCCTTCCCCACACTTGGCTCTGTCACCAGCTTGACCAACTCAGTTGACCTCTATGAGCCTCAGTTCCCCTACCTGTTAACAACAAGAATGTTGGCTAGGTAATCCTTAAGGTGTCCTCCACCTTTAAAAACCCAGCTAGTTTTTATGCATGTGATAACAGAGTCTTCTTCTCAGGAGTAATATTAATATACGTAGTGATAAAAGATGAAGATGAGGTAGGTTTTACTGTCATGTAAGGAGAAGGAAAAAAATTTCACTTTTCAAAGCTTGGCTGCCATTTGAACCAGTTGGTCTAGCAGAAAGACTGAATTCCTTTTGGGAGTTAACTGTCCATTTGTTTAGGAAAATACCCAATGGATATGTGGCATTTGACTTTGAAAGATAAATGGAAGGCAAATCCCAGTTATTAGAAATTTACAAAAATAATAGTAAACATTCCTCTGCATAACAAAAGAACAGGCATTTATTTATTTGCTTGATTGTGAGTTAACCCATGGCACCAGTAGGGTTTGGCCTCCAGATCAGCAGGAATGCAGCTAGTGTAGGGCTGGGTAGGAAGCACAAGCTGTCCAGAGCAGAGTTTAGTGCTGCTGCAGGCCCAGAGCCCTAGGTTAGCAACACTGTTTTGTTACCTCATGCTGTTTTTTAAGAATTTGGGTCAACATTCAAATATGTTGACTTGCTGCTTCTGATAATTAGATTTTAGCAATTATCAGCTGCCTCGGCTAGACCAGGAAATTATTCCCAGGTTCATCACAGTTCTCACCACACACAGGGAGGCTTTATTTGAGGGACTGTCAATGTAAGAAATGTTCAAACCTGTAGAGAATTTTTATTAGTTTATTTGAACTAAACTGATGACAACTTCTGAGAAGCAAAATCTCAATGGATTAAGAAAATGCTCCATAGAATGACAGTCTTGCACCTTATTTTATACATTTCATCAAAAGACAAGATGTAATTGAGTTACATGAAATCCACTGGTGATAGATTAGGGAGGCGGGAGAAAGCAAAGGTTGGGGGTGAACACCTATGGGATTGGATGAAAGGTAAATTGATAGACATATATCTTTTATATATGTGGGTACAGGATAGTTAACAGTCAACAATTAACAGTGAGGTCTCTGCTCTGGCAGTTGTGCCCGGAGGGGTCCAGAAAAAGGGATATTACCCTGATATTCCAAAGGTATGTTTCATAGATTCAAAAAGACAATAGATAAGCTCAATTAAGGTAAAGACTGACTTTTGTCAAGGAAGATTCTAGCCTAGGACATGACTACCCACCATAAACTGCTTTTAGGTTAAAAATTTTAATTTTAGACCATCCTATCCAGTTAATTTTGGTCTCTGAGTTTGTAAGGCTGCCACAAAGGCCTCCTCTGAGCTTGTCTAGTTTAATATGTGGCCCCTTTTCATCCACAGGACCTCTGTAGGCATATGAATTCCCCACACTGGCCATTAAGGGGGCTCTGGGACAGAAGAGGAGTTTGGGCCTAGGGTAGACTAGGTAAAGACAAAAAATTCTGTGTGGTGGTAGAAAGTGGTCAGTGAGTTTCTAGAAACTCTAGAAAAAGTCTAGAAACTAGTTGTTCCCTACCTATTTTGTACTCAAGCCTTTAGTATATCTCTCTGCCCTTCCTGCACACACTAAAAGGAAGTGTTGCTAAATAGTGGAGCCATTTACCTCACTTTCCTGAATCCTTAGTGTTTTGACTCTTTGACTACCTTTGTTACCAAACAGAGGACCTGGCCTTGAGGTCTGCCTATGGCCAGCTGGTAGTGTGTTGGTTCTTGACTTTGAGAAGGAAAATTTTCACAACATGAGTCCAGGTGACTATGAGGAAACATTTATTAAAGCTGGAGACAGTGAAACAAGGAAGTTTAGCATAGAAGAAGCAAAAGGAGAGCCTAGGCCTGGCTGCCCTAGCTCTCAGGGAATTCAAAGAAAAGGGGGCTTGGGGAGAGGTTCAGGCGATTAGCCTGGAATGAGCTGCCACTGCTTATTGCTGCCCTGGTTGCAAGTCTAATGGGGACTCAGAGTTTAGGAGATGTGTGCCTGTGAGGGAAGAAAAGATGGAAGAAGAGAGGAAAGGGAATGGAGTGGCTGGCTGCTCACCAGAGAGAGAGCAAGCTCTGGGTCTTTTGTCTTGAGGCTTTTATCAGTCTCTTACAGGCAGGGACTTTTAGGCGAGGTCTCAGGGCAGGATTTCAGCAGAATATTCATCAGTTTTCTAGGTGTGCTCTTTCAAGGTCAAGATCTCCACTGATTGATCAGTGCCAGGGCAGGGGGTCATCAGTCACTACAGCTGGTCCTGGTGGTCACCCACCTGGTTTTGCTGCTTTTCTGGGCCTGCAGCTGAAATACAACTGAGGTGTAGATATTATCTCTAGGGAGGTGACCTGTATCTGTTATAAATTGCTCAGCCATTTTGTTCAGCTATCTGTCTCAGTTTCCCTATTCCACTTATCCTGGCTTACTGGCCTGTCTCACCTTATTTCCTGGAATTCTCATTACACATTTTTTTGATCTTTTATATTTATGCTTTTTGTTCTATAAGGTAACTCCTTATTAAATCAATCACATATTAATACTAAGTACTAAAGAGCAAGTCTCTAGTCATATATTATAAGCACATTTTCCAAGTTTATTGAGTACCAAATACTATGTTCATCACTTAATATGCCTTTGGTTCTGTCAGTAGTCTTGAGTAGAATATACCTTGTTAAATCAACCAAATTTTACCCTTTGAATCAAAATAAATTCATGTTTGAGTCCTGCCTTCCTCTGCCAAGTGCTCAAACTTTCATACACATTTTCTTTGAGCAAGTGATGAAGTAAATATTGAGCCATCAGATGGTAGCATATTTGTATACCTTTTCTTTAGGATTCTGACAAAACTACAAATTGTTTTTATTTTACCTCTTATGTTAGTAAGAATAAGAATTGATCATGTATCTGAAAACATTTCAAAAAACTAGTCAACCTATATAAAAATGTAAAGATTCACAACTATAAAGCACTGTAAGAATAAGGCTTTTATTAAGAACTATGGATATGTTTTTGGCATGTAAACTCTTATCTCCTCCAGGGATATTTGGTCCCTTGGCTGTGTTTTATATGAACTCTGCACACTCAAGCATCCTGTAAGTATGTTAAGTCAAATTAATATTGAACTATTGAAACTATATAAATAATATTATCTTAAAGAAAAAGGTTAATGTTTGATATTATTCACTTGTTAAAAATTAAGTGGAAAAGGGGGAAAATGGTGATGGAAAAAAATAAAAATAAATACAAAAGAATTATGTGCATAGCTATAGCTGTTAAAAAGAATAATAGATCTATATATGCTGACATGGAAAGCTATCCAAGCTATATTATAGAGTAAAAATTCCAAGTTGGAGAATAGTATATGTAGCATATTTTCATTAAAACTAAAATGTGTGAGCCCTGGCTGAGTGGCTCAGTTGGTTGGAGCATCTTCCCATATACCAAAAGGTTTCAAGTTTGATTCCCAGTCAGGGAATATACCTAGGTAGGTTGTGGTTTAATACCTGGTCGAGGGCATGAATGGGAGGTAATAGACTGATGTTTCTTTCACATCAGTCTCTCTCTCTTTCCCTTCTTTTCTCTAAACATATCCTCAGGTGAGGATTAATAAATACATAAATAAATACACTGTGTATATATATAATCAGCAAAGGAAAAGTTGCATGAGGTGAAATCTGTAGTTACCAGGCATAAGCTTCCAAGAGCCTCTCCCAGTAGTCACACAGGATGCTCTAATTCCTCCAGCAACAACCTGTGACAACACATGTGAAATACTACCTGCCACGGATGCTCATTAGGGATGCACTGCCTGGGTTGTTGTTTTTTAAATCTTTTTTTAAAAAAATTATCTTTATTGTTGAAGGTATTACAAATGTC